GGGTGTTCTCCCACTGACAGATCGTTTCGCGGAACTGTCCTTCCGGTTTCTTATCCGTTGTGAAGTAATGAACCCATTGGTAATAGAAAACTTTGAGAAGCTGCTCGACCGAAATCCTCAAACAAGATTCATGAGTTTGTACTATGAGTACATGACGCTGGAGGTTGGTCCTTCTTCATTAGCCTCCAATCGTGATTGCTTTCAAGCCTTCTATAGTTCCTCTGTAAATTTTGATCTGACCATGATGCAAGAAATCCATGGAATAGCAGATCACCATCGGTCGATGGTTGTTCCCTTAATTTTTGCAAACAAGTTCCACCATGTAAGTAACGATAAAAGATTTTTCACAGATGGGTCAACCATAAATGCTTCCACTGGATTTGGTGTATTTAATCAATTTCATAGCGCCTCTTATAAACTGCAGAAAGCATGCTCAGTATACGTTGCGGAACTCGCAGCTATATTTTACGCAGTAGAGCGAATTGTCTCACTACCTTCTGACCATTATTTCATTTTTACGGATAGTCTTAGCTCATTGGAGGCTATTCGTTCAATGAGGCCGATGAAGCACTCCTCGTATTTCCTGCCTGAAATACGATCTAAACTGAGTGCTTTATCTAACTGCTTCTATACTATCACCTTAGCTTGGGTCCCATCTCATTACTCAATTCCGGGTAATGAGAAAGCGGACTCGTTGGCTAAGGTGGGCGCTATGGAAGACGATATTTTTGAGCGACAAATCGCCTTCAACGAATTTTTCTCCATAACTCGTCAGCAAGTCCTCATCAGTTGGCAACAAAAATGGAATGATGGTGAATTGGGAAGATGGTTACATTCTATTCTCCCACAGGTGTTGAACAAACCATGGTTCAAAGGGTTGGACATGATCCGCGACTTTATACGCTTTATATCAAGGCTTATGTCCAATCACTGCTCGTTAGACTCGCACTTCTATCGAATTGGGCTCTCAGGCAGCAATTTATGTGTGTGTGGCAGGGGTTATTATGATATCGAGCATGTTGTTTGGTCATGTACCTTACACCGTGTTGCCAGATCTGAGTTATCCACATCCCTCAGGGCCCGAGAAAAACAACCCGCGATACCCGTTAGAGATGTCTTGGCGAGCCGAGACCTCGACTATTTGAATTTAATTTATGTGTTTTTAAAACGGATAGATCTGAGGATCTAGTAGTTAGTGTCATCTTGTGTTCTCCCAAGTTGTTAGCTGCCAATCGGTGTACCCCCATGTTTGTCTTTTTCATCAGAGTGTCGCTTAGTTCGAGATCAAGAGCACATTGCTCTCCAAACCTTATGTTCACATTCCCTACCCTGCCATCCATTTGTTACAATTTGTCCCCCCTAACCTCGAGATAACCGCGAGTAATCGGCCCCGCTTTACTAACGTTAGTTTTAAGTAATTTTGTAATCTAATCAATGAATATTGGCTCCGCAAAGCTACAGCAAATGAGCCTGGAATAATAAACGCATTATAAAAAAAAAAAATTAAAATATCTTGCGCGTCTGGTAAACATGATCCAGGAAAAATTGAAAAATAATGTTAAATTTTAAATGGCTTGCGCCCCTTGCCCCTAAACATGTTACGGAATCAATCAATCAAAAATGGTACAATTGAAGTGGCCTGTGCCCCTGATCAGGGAAAAAAAAAAAGTTAAATAATACCACTGAACTGTTAAAAAGTTCAACTGATTGAGGTTAACCACTAACGGTGCAAATCCTGATTGGCGGACAAAAGTTGGCGCTACTTAGTGGCGTAAGATAGAAATTTTGACATGATGGTGCTTTCAAATTTCTTTCACGGTGAGGTATGGGAGAGTAGTTTGGAATCATATAAAAAAGATCGACATCACTTCGGAATGTACTGAATCACTTGAGAATAGTTCGGAATCACTTCGGAAAGTACTGAATCATTTCAGAGAGCACTGAATAACTAATGAAAAGTTCTAAATCACTTCAGAAAAGTTTGGACTCACTTCGGAAGTGCTAAATCACTTCAAAAATGTTTTCAATCACTTCGGAAACTACTGAATCACTTAGGAATGTATTGTATCACTTTAGAAATGTTCACTTCTGAACGTACAGAATCGAATCAGAACAGTTTGGAATCACTTCAGAAAGTTCTGAATCACTTCATAAATGTTGAGAATCACTTCACAAAGTACTGAATAACTTCAGAAAAGACCCAAAACACTTAATAAATATTCGAAATCACTTTGGAAAGAACTGAATCATTGCGGAAATTTCACTTTGACAATAATTGAATCACTTAGCAATGCACTGAATCACTTCAGAAATGTTCGGAATCACTTCGGAAAATACTGAATATCTTCAGGAATATTCGGAATCACGTTGGAAAAGTTCATGATCACTTCGGAAAGTACTGAATTATTTCAGAAAGCACTGAATCACTTCGGAAAGGGTTGAACCACTTTAACCTTGGAATTTCTTCGGATTATATTGTATCACTTCAGAAAATTTCGGATTCACATTGGAAAGTACTTAATCGTCCCAGAAAGTTTGTAATCATTTCCGCAAGAACGGAATCACTTCGAAAATAATTTAATTAGTCAGGAATGCACTGAATCACTTCAGGAACGTTTGGAATCACTTCAGAAATACTGAATCGCTTCAGAATGTTCAAAATCACTTCGAAAGGCACTGAATCATGTCAGAAAGTACTGAATCTCTTCAGAAATGTTTGAAATCACTCCGAAAAGTATTGAATAATTCCAGACAGTTTGAAATCAATTATGAAAGTAATGAATCACTTCAGAAAAGCTTTTAAATTCTTCGGATACTATTGAATGACTCCCTTTGGAAAATACTTAATCTTTCCAGAAAGTTTGCAATCGCTTTCGTAAAAATTAAAAAAAAAATCCGGAAAGAACTGAACAACTTCACACAATTTCGGAAAGTACTGTATTAGTTCTTTCAAGTTTACAATCACTTTTTCAAGAGCTGAATTACTTTGTAATAACTTCAGAAAAGTTTGGAATCCCTTTGAGGAGCACATGATCATTTTATAACAGTTCAAAATCTATTCTGAATGAATTGAAACACTTTAGAAAATCTCGGAATCAGTTTGAAAAGTACTTAATTACTGCAGAAAAACTTCAGAAAGTACTGAATAACTTGAAATAGTACAGACAGTATTGAGCATGAGAATGATTAACCGCTCGCGGTTGCTAATCCGTTATTACCAGATCACCTAACAGAGAAGCAAAAAACGATGCGTTGGGCTAGCATACATCTGCAATGTTTAAAAACTGGTAATCACATACTTTACGATAGGCAATAACAGAGCTGGCCGCTTCCAAATGTAGGTCAATTGTAAACTATCAAAAATCGAGAGATCCTTCTCACTTCCACAAATTTTTCAATAGTTTTTCAACAGGATTAACTTAAGAGAGTATTGATTATTATCGCTAAGTCACTCAATTGTGACACATCAAAAAGATCTCGATTTTGGTAACATAGATGAAGTACAGTCAACTCTCCACAACTCGATGGCCACTAGTTCGATATCGAGTTATATAACCACATTAAAAAAGAGTGTCATGGCTACTGCGATAGCTATGTTTCCAAAAACGAGATCTGTCTATACTGACATTACATTATATTAGGAAAGTTTGGAATCACTTTGAAAAAGTTTAGAATCCCTGCAGAAAGTACTGAATAACTTGAGAAAAGCTTAGGATCACTTTGGAAAGTACTGGACCATTTCAGAAAAGCTTAGCACGTACAGAATAACTTCAAACAGTACTGAACTTTACAAAAGTTTTAAATCACTTCTGGAAAATTGGAAACACTGGATCCGTGTATTCAGCTCATAACATATTTAATAATTTCAGAAAAGCTTGAGTTCAGTAGGGAAAATGTTGAATCGCTCAAAGATAGACTCACTTCCGAAAGTGTTAAATTTTCTGGACTGATTTAATACTTTCGGCAGTAATGTCACGAGTTCGTGGGAACGTCTAAAACAAGATCCTGCTATTAACGTAAAAACCTGGCACTGAAATAGTTAACGTATCGCCTATTAAGGTTTCCAAAGGTGACATCACTGTTACACTGTTGAATCAAACGGAAAACTAATTCTGCTTTCAATGAAATCAATTTGATTACTGATTTTGCATTCATAAAGTTTGACTGAATACGGGCCTGTCGTAAATGGTTAGCATCCATGCTTCTCATGCTGAAAGATTTGAGCCCAAATGTCACCTCGGGCTAGTAACGAATGACCTAAAATGTGTTAAACAAAACAAATAAACAATAATCGTTAGTTCAACGGCAGATGAACTTAAAACAAATTTTAAACAAGAAATTAACAGCAGAACTTCAACCTAAGTTGCTTTGATTTAAAAACTCTTGACTGCATATTGAAAGCACAATATGATATCAGACTTCTGTGGCGAAAATTGAAATCAAAATGAGTTTTCATTATGATAGGAACTGCAAACTTTAATATCGATTTGCTTTCATTTTGTTAACCGACTTTGCTCGGGTAGCCTGTCATCTTCTGCGCGTGCTCCCAGGTCTGTTGCCGTGCCACCTTCGTTTTCTGCTGCATCATCGTTGAGATGCTCGTCATAGTATTGATTCCACCTCTCAATCACCTCACTCATAACCACCGGGATCGCAGTGCCTAGTGCCGCTGCAGCAGTCCTACCTATGGTGGACCCGATGTCCCTCCATAAGGATCGTACAAATTCTAGCTACAACCTCTCTATATTGCTCTACTGCATGAAATAAAAGCTGCCTAAAAATGAATATGTAACATGTAGATATCTATTGTATAAATATTTGTTCCACCTATGATAATGCCTAACATCTAATAATCACCACTGACGAGACGAACATAACCAACAAGATGTTACCTACATCTTTAACAATGAATGTATTTGCATTGCGATAATATTTCTGGTTTTTGGCAAACCGCATCTAACTGAGAATTAAATCCCGCTCTTTTGTTAAATTTTCCCCAGGAATGTCCATCTTCTTGCGGTGGGAGCGGTTGTTCTAGCTGTCAGGAGAGCACATCTCTTCCATTGCCAGGCCTGCACGGATCGGATTTCGTCGACTGCGGAAACTGTCTCGACCACAACGGTGCGCTCAGGTAAGTTCGAAAGGAACATTCAAATCAGCACAAAAAAAATAAATAATGCAAAAATGGTTACCATCTCTTATTGGCCACCGGCCAGGCAGTTTAGTAATTCGGTTTACTGTTGCGGTGTAGCTCTGAAATACTGAAAGCAGTAATCCGTGCATCAAAGCTATGGTTCACGAGATATCAGCGGCAGAGTTGTAGCTGGCTCATGTGATGGACCCGATCAGAACTAGCTACCTCACTGTGAAAGGTAATCACTCAATCTACCGGTTCTCATACATTTCTCATAAAAAGAGCAAACATATTTGAAGTAGGTACGAAAACCGCATGTCGCCAGTATCTGCCGATTGAGTTTCTTTGCGTTTTGGCTGAAAGACTATGTTGAGGGTCAACCAAGCCAAAACGTCATCGTGGGAACCGCATTTTAACATCGGATCATGGCCAACGAAACATAATTACCTACGCGACTGCCACGACATGGACCCGGGACCGTCCGCTTCTTATCAAATAGATTTGCACACTCAACTGAGTCCAGTTGAGGTTACCGCACATTGTATTTGCACTCTAAAACCAGATCGGTGTCGATTACACGTAGGGCCTTACTCTGACCACTTACCACCACTACTGATCTGGAATGGATGTGGATGCTGCTGGAGATGGGAACCATTTTGCCATTATTTTTTCACATCCCATTCCTATCTTGTTCTCATTTATTCGACATTTACAGTTCACAAAACCACCTAGGCAACTACTGGAGCGAAGATATGAGCACATTCCCAGGGCTGCCACCATTGGACATCGACCCGTTGCCCAGCCTGTTTCCCTTCTCACCTTGTGGTGCTACGTACAAGTAAGTTGACGACGTTTTTAGGAGCTAAGTAGACGGCCGAAGGGAATTGGATTGCAGCGCATGGAACGAGTTCATTTAGCAGGTCTCTATTTTCGCTGACGCATGTAAGGTGATCTGATGGAAAATGGCACTAATCAGGGGCTAAATTTGATCGGAGTGTGGTTTTCATTACTCCCGTGATAGTTACTTGATGCTTATCTGATCCGATCAAATGAACAAATAAGCTTCCAGTGCAGATTATCTATTTTGAAGCGTGAAAGGTGTACTAGCCACGTTTAAGGGTAATTTAGCGATTGTAAAATTGATTTTAACGGAGAACAAGCAAAATCAGTTTCATCGCTTTCGACACGTTGAAGTCACTCGTGTATTTCTGTGAACATCGTATTGATACCAGTATGACACAAATGTTGAAGTAACTATTTGTTGTTACAAATTATTTTTAGAAATACCATTCACGGAATCAGTCAGTTGAATGTTCAGTAAATGTTGAAGAATGTACTAGGGTAATTGACGGCTTCGGCAATACTTTATTCTATTATCAACTGAGGGTAAACAACGTCCTTGAGAGCTCAATTTTAGCATGTGGATACATTGTGTTTCAGAGCATCTATTGGCCAAATTTGTGTGCTCCAGGACTTTGTTTACCCCTGACGACAATAGGTTAAGGTATTGCCGAAGAAGAAATTTCCCCTATGTAGTTTGCAAATCGCAAAAAGAACGACGATTGTTATTTTTGAATGTTTCGTGTGCTGCCACCGAACAGCCGCAGATCAAAAGGCTTGGGTTCAATCCCAGTCAGCGCCGCCGGGATTTTCTGAGGCAAGGGAAGTAAAGCCGTTGGTCCCCAGTCAATGAGTTGATGGGTCGATAGGTAGGGTCCAGGTGTGCGAGCTGCCTCCTACAGCATACAGCATTACAGAAAACAAGACTGACGAAAAACAAATCAAGGGAAAAAATCAGTGGCAGAGAGATCAGATCAGAGAATCATATCTAACTTCCTACTGTTTGTATACCTTTAATCATTTATAAAAAACAACAAAAAATCTATGAAAATATGACAGAAGCTAATGAAAACATGACGACCGAAAAAAAAACTCGTCCGTCGTCTCGTCAGTTCCGTTCCTGCTCCAATGGAATATGAACAGCTTTGTTGAAAAATATCAGAATATTGTTGAAAACCTCGGTGACCTGGAAATGCTGACCCAAAATGATCCTCCATCGATTATTGTTCTCCAGGAGATCAATAGGGTAACCACTGAACAAATGGATCTAACGCTCCGGGGTAAATACCAGTGGACCACTAAACGGGGCAATAACATTCTGCAATCTATCGCTATCGGCGTTCTAAGAAGCATCCCTTCCCGCTTCATCGAACTGGATACCGACCTACCCTGGTGGTCTGAAGAGACAAAAGCGGCAGTAAAAGCTAGACGAAAGGCACTTCGGCGTGTCAAGCGCCTCCCAGCCAACCACCCTCAAAAGGAATTAGCCCTACAAACATATAGAGAACGGCACAACCAATGCAGGCAGACTATCCGGGATGCCAAAAGAAATAGTTGGACCGACATCCTGGAGAGCATAAATGCTTCACAGTCGCCCGCGGACCTGTGGGGAAAAGTTAATTCCCTTAGCGGGAAAAGGTGCACCACACCGCTCTCAATCGAGACTGGCGGAACAAACATCCTCGACCTTGATGCCGTAGCTGAGGAGCTCGGCACCTATATTGCCAAGCTTTCCGCTATCAACCAATATGAGCCCACCAAGACCATCTACTGCGGATATCACCAATTTCCAAATTCCACAAGACAGCAAGCAAGCAAGGTGCTGGAACCATAGAGGTAACTCTAAGACCAGAAGATCCCGAAGAAACGTGCTCAACTTTTTGTCCCAGCTCTGGTACTATCTTCGGTCCCAAGCTAATCGATACACCCCTCGAAACATAGGAAAATCCACGAACCCCTCATGTTATCTGTCAAACTTGCATAGCGAATCAAAACTAACATAGTGTAGTACTAGAAATTTGACTGGAATGGGGTACGTTAATCGATTTGCTTGGGACCAATAGGCTAGTCAAGTAGTGAGCTAATTTAAAATCGTTAGTTTCCACCGGTGCTGGAACGCATGGTCAATCGTCGACTTCGCGCTGCATTGGAGGAAAATTGATATCTTGGCCACCGGCAGCACGCCTTCCGGGCAGGAAAGGGAACCTCCTCGTATTTTGCTTCGCTGGGAGAACTGTTAAAGAACACGTAGGAAAAGGGCCACCACGCGGAGATCGTCTCCTTGGATATCTCCAAGGCCTTCAACAGAACATGGACGCATGCTTGGCATGCACAGTTGTACACAAAAACTGTTCATTTGTTAATAACTTTTCACTCAGTTGTTAAAGTTTAGTTATCTTTAAATTAATTGATATATTAGGATCATAGTTTACTGTTGACATGCAAAGAGTATGTAAATCTTATCATTTGAATCAACACTGTGAAAAGTTATTAGCAAATGGGCAGTTCGTGAGAAAAAACTGTGTATGCCAAGCATGCATGGCCGCCGTTAGTACTTCGAGAGCTCATCACCTGGGGATTCAAGGGAAGTATCCTTTCCTTTATCCGAGGCTTTCTGGCAAGACGATCGTTTAAAGTCACCGTGGGGAACACCAAGTCTTCTTCTTTCCCGAAGGAAACAGGGGTGCCGCAAGGCTCGGTTATCGCGGTGACGATTTTCCTAATAGCGATGAACGGGATCTTTACTCGTTTGCCACTCAACATCCACATTCTCGTCTACACGGATGACGTGCTAATTATGGGGCATCGCAAGGACCCACATCCAAGCATAAGCCGCTGTATCGGCAGTTGCCAAATGGTCGGCCACGTCTGCGCTTCAGGTCACCGATTCGGCGGCGCTTCTATCAAGATCGAGGATCAACCGATCCCCCTGAAAAAAAAAACGATATGCATCTTGGGCGTTCTAGTTGATCGACACTTAACCTTCACGAAACACTTCCAGAGCGTTAAGGATAGTTGCAAGACCCGCATAAACCTTATCAAAACAATCTCCATGCCGCACCGCACTAACAACCAAGCTATCCGGCTGCATGTAGCCAAGGCTGTTATTGACAGTCGTCTACTCTACGGTCTGGAGCTCACCGCAATGGCCAAGGACAAACTGTTGCAAGTCCTTGCACCAGTTTACAACGACTACATCCGCGTAGTTTCAGGTCTCCTGCCCTCGACGCCGGCCGACACAGCCTGTGCTGAAGTCGGTGTACTTCCTTTCCGGTGTTGAATCGACACCACAGACGCCATCAAATCATCGGGTAACGAATGGATCTATCTCCTCGAGGAGGGAAACAGAATTCTCCGTACAGCAGCCAATACTGACCTCCCCCCAATAGCCAAGAGCCACTGACTGGGAGGAAAAAGTTGGCAATCGTTAAACATCGAAAGTGGAATTAAGGGCAGGAGACAACTCGCCGGCGCTCAAACATGCCGTCGCGGAGATGCTAAACTCCGGGTACCCCAGGCATACGCACCGTTTTACGGACGGGTCCAAATCGCACAACGGAGTTGGGATAGGCATTGCGGGAAAGATCTCGCCAACGAGCTTGAGCCTACCGCCATAATGCACTGTTTTTTCTGCAGAGGCTGTGGCGATTTTCGAAGCAGCAATCACATCATCCGACCGACCAGTCCTAATCCTCTCTGATTCACACAGCGTAATATCTGCTCTCCGGTCCAACATGCCCACTCATCCGTGGATTCAAGGGATCATCAGACATGCCCCCCTACACAGTATTCGCTTGAGCTCCGGGGCATTGTGGCATCACTGGCAACTCCGACGCTGACTGACTGGCCGGGGTGGAACCATCTGGTGCCAGGTACACCGATGAACTTCCCCTTCCGGACATCAAGCGATGGGTCGAAACTTCCATGCAGGCTAGGTGGCAAGAAGAATGGTTGGCAAACCAAGGACCGCTTCTAAGGAAAATCAAGGAGAGCATGCGTCCATGGAAGTTCCTTTGGGAACCTGAAGGAGCAACGAGTCATCTCCAGGTTTCGCACAGGTCACACCCGGCATCCACACGATTTCGGTGGAGGAGTTTTCCGCAAGACTCCGATCCTGGCTACCCTGATCTCCTTCCTGAAGGGCGCTGGTTTGTTTTTCAATGTTTCATTCCTTCCTTTCGGTCGTCGGGGCATCTCTACCGGACGGGGCACCGCCTTCCACGGTGGAGCTCTGCCTTGTTCGGATTAGTCAATAAGTTAACTCAATGTCAATGTACTAGTTTGTTCTTCTGTGTTTCCCAAATTTGTAACTCTGTAAATTCCAACTGTGTTTTTTTCCAAGGCAGGCCTTATACCTCTGATATTTTTTTCCTGCAAAGTGAAGAACTAGCCAATGGCTAAAATTCAATAAAATAAAGAAAGAAAAAAAAACAAAACTCGTCCATCCTCATATTTATAAATACAGGGGATAGACAAAATTATCGGGACAGGAAAAATTGTGTCCAAATCAAATGGAATTAAGAGGAAGTTCACCGTTCCGACAAAAATAATTACGTTTTGATTTTTCTAAAAATATTGGTAAGAGATTTCAATTGATAAAACTACAGGGCTGTCCCTTGGGATTGTACGCAATGGTTACGTAGGACTACGTGGTCTTATATAATACATGTTATTGTGGTCTTATATTAATACATGTTAACTGCAGCAGGAGCTTGTGTTTTGTGTAGGAATAGGAATTTGAGCGGGGTTCTCTCTGTTTATACTCTTTAGTATGACTATGATTGCCCTGAAAAGAACCTTTTGATATGAGTCCTGATGAATGAAGGCGGCTTAGTGGAATTCCTGTATAAAGAGAAAGGGAAGGATTAGTAATTTCCATTTAATTTTCGAGTCGAGTATTAGTACAAGATACTGAAGAAGCCTGCACATTGTAGACGAAATACGCGTATCTGTCAGGATAAGCAAATAAGGTAGTGGAATTAAATGGAAATTACTAAT